ATTGTATCCGTTTGTCTATAACTATAGTGTGGCCAATTTGGGGAGGACAGAAAATCAATAGAGACGAGTATATTCGAATGTGTACGGGCAAGGAAATGACACCAGTGAAAACGTGTGGATTCGGTGATATCGGCGCAATTGGAAGTTTTGGCACGGAGCTCACGGGCGAGCGAAGGCCCTACCGGCTGGGTCCATTTGCCGGGCAAAGCTATCGGATCATGTTTGTGTAGGCATCGACGCTACGGATTGTGTACCTTGGTGCGGGGCTAGTGCAGGCCAGAACAAACCAACTACGACCGTTACAATATCACGGAGCAGCAAGAGAGAGGGTATGGAGGGAGAGCAAGCAACGGGTTGTATATTCTGCGCGCAGGCCGGCTATCATATTGAATTAAGCTGCCATGTAACATTATAAGTTGCTCCTTCCCGCGTTAAGTGCTCTAGTGTTGTATTTGGTAATTGTCACAACGAGCTGGTAATTTAATAAAGGAAGTAAGAACATTAGCGAAATTGTATTTCATTTCATTCGAGGAGGGAGCGACTTGGCGCTGGGTAGTGGGTAATGGATCCCCGCAATGTACGGGCGGGTGGTGGTGGTTGGGTGTGTGTGTGTTTGTCCTTCGCGCCAAAATAGACAAGGGAACACGCAGCGTGGACGAGTGTTGCGCGTGCACACGGCGCGCGCAGCCCTACCGCATCGGTTGTATCGGGAAGACCTGTCGCTGTGAGTTTATCACACAACCTCGGCGATTTGATGACATTACAAGAGACACAGTGGTGTAGGTTTCAGTCGAACACACACACAAAAAGTGGTTACAAAAATCACCGACCCTGCCTCGCACTCACTGTGTTTCTCACCGGGGCTCATGTTGGAGGCGGTGACTAGACCGCGGGCTTCCTTTGTCTGAGCACTCGCCGATAACATTTAGAGGAGTGGATGATTTAAAATCTCTAGTCGTGACTACAACCGATACAGTGTGGCGTGTGAGAAGTGATCATTCAAAAACGCGGACATGTTTGCGTTTCCATACCGTACTTCAATCAATCCCGCGTTTCGATTTTATAATGGATAGTTCGGTTATACGTATAGCCTTGTCTTCGTGTCGCCCTATCGGCGGCGGCATAACCTATCCCTAGGACAATTAAAAACGATTACAGACGCGGTTGCAGAGGCTCTCTTGTAACTGCAATATAACCCGATGAGTATGAAATGAATATAATGATCTCGTCACTTGCTGTGCCTACAGGCGACAGCCGATGTGTAAACACTGGCCTGTGATACGGGAATTAAAACCCGTGTAAGCCATGATTAAAACTTGCAACAGCCGTTGAATTTACAATTGGCCACTTGTTATTGCAGCCGGGATATAGAAGCTATATAGAACTGTATCCGAAACATTGTTTTAAAATATTGCGACCATTTGCCTTGACTTATGAAGTTTGTAAAGGTTGATATTACTTGATTAAGTGGGTTATTTGCAATTTTATGTTGACAATGAGCTGAAGTGACATTTGATTTGAAATTGTTTCTGGGGTTCTACACAAAATACTGACCGCTCAACTTTGATCATTGTTGTACCGGTAGTTCAGTCCTAAATATAAAAAATGTCCATCTTTCTGAAGCCTACACCATGATCTGATGGCTTGATTTTGGCGCGCTTCTAATTGGCAGACTTCCACAATTCAACACGGCGTAGATAATGTCTGAACCCAAAAAAATGAGCAGCAGATGCCCAACCGATAGAAACAATCGGATCCATTCATGGATCTTTGAAGATGATTTGTGAGACAGACACCAAACGTGAGTTGTTGTATGACCGAAGTGGAAAAGCAACGCCACACAAAACATTCATCATGGGTGTGTCTGTGTGTGTATATGGGAGAAGACCCAACAATAACGGCTATGCGTGGTGGTCTGTCAGACCTTTTCACATAGCCCCTCCTCTCTGAGTAGTATTTTTTTCAGTGCAAAATGATGAATGAACTCGCATGCATTGCACTTAGCTCTGCACTCTGTAGCAGAGAGTTTTTGGAAGCTCCCTATAATATTATTGTCAAAACAGTATTTTCCACACTCTCAAAAGACCCGGGTCAGATTTGACCCGGAATTTGGGTCCTATGGGGCCTGACACTTTTCCGGGTCGAAATGACACTTTTCCGGGTCAAAAAGACACTTTTCCTGGGTCAAAATGACACTTCTATGACTCACCTTCCAGGTCATTTTCGGACCCGGTAAAGTGTCATTTGGACCCGGAAAGTGTCATTTGGACCCGGAAAAGTATCATTTGGACCCGAAAAAGTGTCAGGCCCCATATAGGACCCGTATTCCGGGTCAAGTCTGACCCAAACGTTTTAGAGTGGCGTTGTTTGAAAGCCATTTGTTCCTCACTTATACTTTGGTAAAAAAGATAAAGGGAAATAACTGTTAACCTACCAAAACAAGCTCTGTCCCTTCCCCCCCCCATCAAACAGCTGGGAGTTAATTCTCTGAGCATGACTGGAAATATTCCCATTTTTCTCTGATTGGTTGAAAGAAGCGTGACGTAGACGGGCTTGCTCCCTGATTAGTTATTGCCAACTTCGTGTTTTCACAGTGTAACTGTTGTTGTTTCTTTGGGGTGTTTGTTTGCTCGCTTGAGTCAGCTTTAACTATACACTTCGAATGGCCATGTACAGCAGTTGTATGTATCTTTTTCTTTGCCCTTTGGGGCAACGTGTATGATTGGCCAAATATTGAAGGACGCGATTAGCTACCTATGTATTCAACCCGACGGCTTTTTGCTGAACTGTTAATTAACTTTGCTGAGAGCATTTCATGTTTAGAAAGGGGAAAAAACAGGCAACGTTGCGAAGAGTCATTTTCTTCTATGCAGGGATCGCAAGGTTTCGAGGGACACTGTGATACACAAAACTATTTTGGCACTTGTTCCTTCACTACTTTGTTTTTGTGGCTTTGGCATTTGAGTCGATTCCCTCAATATCAATTCCACCATTGTGCAAGACAGGTCTCCATTTTTTTATTTTTTTTTTGTACAGCCTGAATGAAAAAAAAAAGTGTTGAGCGCTTTTGGGGAGCTCGGGGGCAGAATTTTGATACGGCGTTCCATAATCAACAAGCCATTTTTAGTGTCCACAATCTATGCCTCCTTTCAATTGGGGGACCTGATTAAAAAGTCCAAATCGTGTTGTTATCCGGGAGTCTGTTGTCGAGGGGCTGCGCGCGGGAGAGGGCCCGGCGGGCTCGGCGACGGACGAGCGGGCCAGGGCCCGGAGATAGTTAGATCACAGCGTGTCACCCGATAGGTCACTCACCTACTTGCCAGTTACGCCGGGGATCCAGCGAGTAATACCTTGTGATTGCTAGTGTATCAAATGCACTGGCAGACCTCGGTCAGTATAAAAAAAATATTAGTTGGATCCCGGGCACATATTGCTCACGCGCGCATCACGCGCGCGCTGTCTTCCATTCACCGCGGGGGGCCACGCGCTGCCCTCGCCCTGCGGACAACACCCGAGAACACTCGGATTATTTGACGAGCTGGAAATACTCCCCCATGTATCAAAATTCATTGGCTTTTCAATCTGTGCTAGATTGACATTTCAGATCAAAAATAATAACGTGGACGGGGCAACAATGACTGTTTTCGCAACGCCAGCGCGCACCCGACCCCTTCCAAGTGATCTTTGAGAAATCCCAGTGCGCGCCAGAGAGTAAATCATTGTTATTTTTCCATTATGGTCTCCAGAGAAATCCGGTACGAAAATCTGAAAGGCCCCTGAACTTACTCAAGTTTTTTTTTTCACTCTCTGTCTCTCATCTACTCTCCCTCTTCTTATTCAGATCGTGTGGGGCTTTATGTGTTGTGTTTGGATAACCGCATGCCAGCCCCATTACGCCAACGCAATCCCGTTTTGTATCCGGGGTCCCCGGCTGACGGTAGGGGGAAATCAAACGGCAAAATGACATTGTGCCGAGGCGGAATTGGCCCCGGCCTCGGCCGGTCTCTCGGCGGAGCTGCGCGCGGGAAAAGTGCAAATTAAGAGGAATCTGCATTCAGAGGTGCATTGAGTCACAAGCAATCAACGGAAGTCTCTGGCGGATCGCCTTTGTCAGGCGAACAGGGGGGCCATCTCACGTCCGGTGAAAGAATTCTCAGTTCGCAATAATAAAAAAAAGAAGAAGAGAAGACGAAACACATCATCATCCTATTCATATGACATTCTTTTCAGCTCCAAGCTTCTATCTTCTGTCCTGTCCTACATCGCCCATTGTGTAGACGGTCCCTGTTGCAATTGAATAACATCAGTTTTGACCCAATATTTTATATATCTTTTCTTCTCCCTTATGAGACTCTGTCGTTTCTTATTCTGATTGCCCAGCAGGAGGCCCCGTGGACATGACCAAATGTGAAGCTCTTAGTCTAATAACAGTTACCTGAAAAGTTGAAATAAGGAACTGTATGAGAAAGTTATATCGGTATAAGAATCTGACTTGATACGTTGGCTATCAGAACGTTCATTTTTGGTAAAATAGTGACTTAATGCCCGTTATGACTTGTAGGGCCATTAAAAAAAAATGAACTCCAGACTTATAATTGCCTTTTTTTTTCCTTAAAAAGGGTACACTAGTCTTGCTTGAAATCGGTTTTTCAGAGGACAATGCGACTGCATGGCTTAGCCCACATACCTCACGGGAACGTTTGGAATCTTACGTATTATTCTTGATTCGTCTTTTGTTTGTGTTTCTTTTTACAATCTCTGCCCCAAGTTACCATGGTTCGCCTGAAAAAAAAAATGAGGTAATAGTTAGACAACAGTTTTAAAGTTGACCAGTGAAGAGTCTGATAATAAACAGGGACTCGTGAAATTTGACTGGTTGCCTGATCTGATATTATGTGCATGGATCAACTGCGATATCAAAATGGCAACTTTGTGCATATTGGCAGACATTTTGTTAAATTGAAGTTTCCTTGTCTTTTTTTTTTTGGTGCTGGCATTAGGTGTGGTTCCAAAACCGGAGGGCGAAGTGGCGCAAGAAGGAGAACACGAAGAAAGGTCCTGGTAGGCCGGCCCACAATGCCCAGCTCATCACCTGCAGCGGCGACCCGATTCCCCCTGAGGAAGTGGAACGGCGAGAGAGGCTCCGCATGGAAAAGAAGAAGCTGAAACAGCGGGAGAAAGCCGAGAGAACCCTGATCAAGACCAAGAAGCAAGGCGCCACGGACGCAGGGGCGAAGAAGGATGGGGAGGAGGAGGGCTCGGGTGAAAAAGAGTGGGGAGACGGATCTCCTGAGGAAGGGGGCGCCACCAAGTGTTCGCTACCACTGCTGTCCCCGGGAACGGATACCAAACAGGACACTGCGGCTGGTGTGTTCTTCACCGACAAGAAACTCAAAACTCCGGCCGGTCACAAGTCGGCCAAGAGCGAGAAGACGCGACGGGAGGGCAAGCAGAGTCGCAAGCTACCACACCACTGCGCTGCCGATTCGGCCAACTCGGCCTTCCGCAGTTCCTTCAGCATCGACTGTTTGCTCTCACCGCGGCCCAACGATGTTGGCGGCCGCGGGTTCGGACTCCTAGCCGGACACTACGCCGCGGCGGCTAGCCTGGCAGCTGCCTCCCCGTATGCCGCGGCCTTCTCCCCCTTCGCTTGGAACTCTCTGTCCGCGGCCCTTGCTGCGGGCGTGCCCCAGCCCCTCGGGTTCCTGGTAGAGAGGTTTCTGCCGCCTAAACCTCACAATCTCCCCCTTATGGCGCATCCCCACCCCATAACGGACGTCTTTGAGGAACAGAAAACTCTCAGCGTGGAGAGACTCCGGAAAAAAGCCGAGGAACACAAGAGCAAAGTTGCTGTTCAGAAAGAGAGCTGCAGCGACACAGAATCAACCAAGATGGAAATGACATGACAATCTGGAGAGTTTGTTTTCCGGACACTTGAAAATGATTTCAACGCGTTGGAACAAACGATTAACTCTTGAGCCCCCCAAAATATTTCTTTCAGTATTATCGATGCGATTGAACTGTTCAAACGGTTAAGCAACGGCCTGACTTCAATACTTTCTTAGCAAATGTGAATGTTTGAAAAGCAAGTCTTTCTCTCTATTGAAAGAGAGCACTATTTTAACTTCTTGCATAAACAAAATGTGAACAAGCACCTGTGAAATCTGCAACATGTTACCGATCCACGAAGCTTCGCCCTTTGACCTCTGGACCAATCATAACCGTGCTTTATGTCCGACATGCGTGGGCCATGCGTGGCTTTGCGTGCAATAAATGACGCACGCGTCTAGCTCATGCAATGTGCATAGATTTATACAATATTTATGGCAATGTGGCATTGAAGAGGCGCACGTGTTTCTGCCCACGTGGGTAGTGGGCGGGGCTAATGGGTTGGTCTGTATAAATTACTCCGTTCTTTGAGTAAAAATGAAGATTTTTTCTACAGGGCGCTGTGGAAAAGTTTTTAAAAAATCAAGAACTCAAGTTGGCTCAAACTGTACCAAGAGAAGCGTTCAAAAGCCGGTGCATACTAGCGCGAAATCTTGTGCAAAGCGAAATTCATGTCGTCAACAATGGTGGACGCGCTTCGAATGTATTGTTGACGTCACGAATTTCGCTTCGCTTTCGCTTTCGCGTGAAGTATGAACCCGGGCTTCACTCTGGCAAATTTCGCACGCAGCGAATGTTTGGTGACGTCAAATTCGCATCACATTCGCATTCAGGTGAAGTTTAAAGACACAAATGACGCACAAATTCGCGTTCGCTTTCGCGCTTGGTTTTGAACCGGCCTTGAATCGGTCTTACTCTTAACGTGTCCAGGCCTTCGAGTGTTCTCTATTCCAAGAGGATTTGGTGGGGTTTCTAACGCGTGTGAATAGTCTAAATTTATATATTGCTCTTTACGTTTTTAACTCGCGTGGCCTTTCTCTCAGGACTGTATGAAACAAAATCTTTGTACATAAATAATAATATCATCTTTTCTTTTTCTTTTCCTTGTCGTCTGTGTTGACGAGTGAAATAGTGCGGTTTGCATGATATTTTGCATAAATTTGACTATTCTATAGGGTTTGTTTAAAAATGTGCTAAATTGTCATTGTTTTTCGTCCTTATTCACCCTGTGATTTGAGATACAACAGAAGTATTCCGATTGGTCAGATACGGTATTGGTAGCGCACAGCTGTGTAGTCAGCAAGTGTATGGACTATTTCCACTCGATGTGTACGCGAAAGGTGCGAGAACATCAGGCCTTACAATTTCCTTTCCTGATAATCTGTCGCAGCAGCATCGTGTCACGACGTCTGGTACAAAACTCAAATTTTGGCATGGCTTTGTCATCGAGAGATGACTTCGTGTGAGTCGTGTCGTTTAACTGGTAGCCATGCCATGACTCGTAGCGGCTTGCACAACCAAATTTGGGACCAGTCAGATCACGCATTATTATTATCCTGTTTTTTTAAGACGCCATTAGTGAAGGGGTACCAATTCCCATGCGAAGATCTAAATAAGAGGACGTTACTGATTTGTAGAACGCGTACAGCATGCAAGGGAGCGAGATTCCACATTAAACAAAACCGGCTCTTTACTTTGTTCGCCGAATTAGTCTATTCTTGATACACCCTTAACTAATGATAGGTGTGCCAAATGATGCACATGCGTCTCAACTTTCAGAATGCGCGCAAAACTTGCGCTGGAGCCTTGTACCTACCGTACCTAGGCGAGGCTAGAGAGATAGCTTTAATTAGTCAAAATGTGGGCCTGCCTAACTGCTTGCTACCATCTAGACTGATTTTCGTTGGCAGTTGTTCTTTGGTTTATCACCGTATCAAAGCATGCATCGCTGACCACTCATGCATCATCGTGTATCGACCAATTATTAATGTCCTACTTTAGCCACAAGATACACGTTGGTTGACATTTCCCCAAACCTTGGTTTCGTCTCCGATCTGGCATCGGGCTCCAATTATTGTATGATTTCTATTAAATTCATTGTGGTGCGATCGAACGGGCTCAGTATTTGGGTCCATACTGCGCTTCGTTTGAACGTCAAAGTAAAATATTACAAGGCTAAGATGTATTAGTTTCATTTGCTTCGAACATTGTGGACTCCTCGAGTATCCGGAGCTGGAGATGAACCCGAGTTTTTGGAAATTTATCTGTACTTAATAATAATTCCACGTGTTACCGCAACTGTTGTGATTCAAGAAGGCTGCCGAACTGGCAAGCTTCATTTAATGAAATAGACTTTCCGAAGACAGCTGCTTCGCAACGATATCTGTACATCCTTGCGCCGTTGTGTGGTAGGGCCTACATAATCCTAATGTATGATTTTGTTTGAATTCAAAAACAGGGTCTGTTCTCACTATGCAGTTTAAGATAGGTAATGTGACCGTTCAAAATCTCTCAATGTGCGTCGTATTTTCGATACAAATGCTTTCAATTTTGGTACAGTTGTAGAAAACAAATGTTTCGCCCTTTTCTCTCATTTTGGATCAAGATTCTTTTTATTTGTCTCAATAATAACTGAAATATTTGATTTATTTGTATAATTTGTCGACACCGAATGCACGAGATTTGTACGTTCACTACAGCACAGCAGTATTAATATTTTCACGATGGAGAGAATGGTTATTATTGTCAGCGTTAATTACATTATTATTAAATGCAACATTTTGTTCCAATGGGAGAATAAAATTTTAAAAAAACTGTTGTTTGTTGAAAAACAATTACCGTATTCATCGTCGAGCCACGTAGGATCATTTGCAAATTACTCGGAAACATAGTTTCCGATGACAGAAACATTGCTCAAAGTGATTATAATAGACTGGTATCAAATACCCTGTGAAATTATTCCACCTAAAATGGTATCGTTTGGAAGACGAGGGCGGATCCAGAACACAATTTTTGGGGGCCCCCAAAAAATTTGGTCCCCCAAAAAGTGGGCCCCGTTTTTTTTTTTTTTTGGATTCTAAATGTTCTGTGGTGCAATCTGAGGCAATTTCTGACCACTTTGACCAATTTTTTTTGGAGGAAAAGATGGTGGTGTTCGCAGTGCCTGCCTTTATAGCGACTTTTTTGGGGGGGGGCATGGCCCCCTTTGGCCCCTACCCCTGGATCCGCCCTTGTAGGAAGAAAACTAACAATTGAAAGTGGTTTCAAAATAGGGTACCGTGGGCACGCATTTTTACATGCGTATATCCACTGAGCTGAAACTTAAAGCTATAGTCCGTCATTTGCAGCAATCCGAAAAGTAACTGGCGTAATTATTGTTGAAAAAATACTTGGTTGAAAGATAGTAAGTGGACTAAACTCCCTGTGAAATTATTCTTTCTGGCAAGCTATCATTTTGAAGTAATCAACGAAGGAAGGCCTTTCCAACGGTGCGTCTTATAGTCAGGTGGCTTAGATCAAATTTTCGTCAAGATCGTGACCGACTGGTCCAAAGCACCAAACTTGGCAGATAGATTCTTATAGACCTAGAGAAGATATTTAGAAGGGGTGACACCCGAAATTCGTTTGGGAAGGGTGCCTAATTTGCATAAATCGTTAATCCCTGCCGTGTAATATATTTATTCCCATATTTGGGTATATTTTTATTTTTTTGTATTGTTTTGAAAAGTGTATTTTGGGGATTCTACTTACATATCTTTACTTAAATAACATTTTCCAAAGCATATAAGTGACTGAATAATTATGAGGACATAGTAACGATCCAAAATGGCTACTATTATGCCCCAAAATTGCGCGCCTTTACCTTGTCCCCAGATATCATCAATTAGTCTTGCCAAACATCAGCATTGATGAACTTCAAATTCACCACGTAGCTTACTGGTACAGTTACCCTATTGAAACAATGAGAACATTGTGTTATTAAGCCCAGAAAACAAAAACTGGGGAAAAAACGAGGTGTCCATAAATTGGGCTAACAAGTAAGGTGAAGGGTTGCCTAACATGGAAGACTGGAACAAGTTCAAGGAAATTCCCAAAATTATTGTTGAGAAAACGTTTTGGCGTAGACAAAATTATTGTAAACAACAATAATCTCTAATTTGGGGGGATTTTGTTGAACTCGTTCAAGTCCCCACGTTACCCTTCCCGTAGTAGCCCAATTTACGGACACCACATTTTCTCCCCTTTTTTGGGCCAAACATCAAGATGATATCAATTTTCACATGATTTCCCACTTATTTTTGTTAGGTTAACTATGTCAGTAAGTACCTTTGTGAATTTGAAGCTCATCAATACCAACGTTTGGCGAGACTAGTTGATGATATCTGAGGAAAAGGTAAATGCGCGTAACTTTAGGGTAAAATAGTAGCCGTTTTGGTGATTTACTATGTCCTCTTAATTATTCAGTCACTTACATGCTTTACAAAATGTTATTGAAGTAAGAATATGCAAGTAGAATCACCAAAATACACTTTTCAAAAAAATTAAAAAATAAAAATATACCCAAATATGGGGAAAATATATTACACGGCAGGGATTAACGATTTATGCAAATTAGGCACCCTTCCCAAAAGAATTTCAGGTGTCACCCCTTCTAAATATCTTCTCTAGGTCTATAAGAATCTATCTGCCAAGTTTGGTGCTTTGGACCAGTCGGTCACGATTCCGACCATATGCCACCTGACTATTAGGAAAATTTTAATTAGTAGTTCGTTTTGTTATTCGGCGAAGCGCGCGCAAGCATTGGCACGACGCACACGCACGCGCGGTTGCTATAATTCGTCGGATCAGTGCGCGACATCGCGTAGCTGCAATCGGCTCAGTGAGAACGTGTCTCAGACGCTGAATTCAGGCCAATTCAAAACATGATTCAGCAACTTTTGATTTGAAATTGAGATCCTAGAATGCTGTTTTTCTCGGAATATACAGCTGAAGCTGAGCTGAAACTTCATCAGGTTAGTTGTTCAGTATCCTTCATTAGATTTTGAACACTTTTGTTGCTTCAAACGAACAAAATGCACAAATTACAAAATGATGGACTATATCTTTAAACAGGTTAGTAGTCCTGCACCCTGATTTGGAGCAGTCTCGTGGCCTCAAATGGAAAATATAATGCACAGGAAAACAAATGATCCTATGTACCTTTAATTGTGGGTGTACATCGAATTGAAGAAACGCAAGATAAGGTTTACTTTTGCCGCTTGGTATGATACCTTCATATTGACATCACAAGGTGGCGTTTACAGGGTACAAGACTGGAATTAAATAAGGCCGTGTCCGGTCCGAAGCCAGTATTTAATTGATGGCTGCGGCTTTGGTTTTTGCCGTGGAGAGCCGTGTAAACAACCTTAGCCGGTTCAGACACGGCTTAGTGAATATAATATTTCGGCTCTGCGGCTGCAGACCAAATGGAGTTTAGGGTAGTGGGGATTTTTCTGAAGTCAGAACCTACAATTATCAAGTATCCCACCCGTGCTAACTAATTAGAGTGGCCCGCAAGAAACCCACTAGTGGCAGGTTTTCTACCTTCTCGTAAAAAAATGTACTTTTTCAAGGAATCGACGACTGTTCAATAACGAACGTAATATATACACAACGCCCTATCTTAATGTAAGAAACACTCAAAAGATTACATTTATAATATATTACTGTATTGTAAAATCAGGTATGTACCATTATTCAGTAGTGTAGACAAATAAATCCGCTCAGAGAAAAAGTAACTTTTTGGAAAAACGTGAAAGTCGATTATTCCACGTGTGTTGTCAATTTGCCAATTAAGGTAAGAACATTCAGTCAAACTCCGGTTTCCCGACCAATGGCGTAACTAAGGGGTGCATGGGGCACACCCGCCCCCACCCCCAAATTTGGGGAAATAAAAATGACAATTTTCTGTAATGCTAAAAACCTCTTGAGTGCCCCCCTCGAGAAAATTAGTCACGCCCCGTACCCCCCCCCCCCCCCCCCTCCTGCAAATTGAACGCCATACAACATTGCTCCCACCCAACACTATTTTGTGTATTTGGAGCCACTTGGCTCTGGTCGTTAATTTTCGGGGAAAATAGTTTGTGATTGTCCCTGTTCAAGGTTGGGTTCTTATTTTTTATAGTTCTCTCTCTCGACCCAGCCTACATCCGGGCACCGGAAAGTCCGCGTCGCCATTGCAGTAGGCAAACAGGCACCGCGCAGTATAGGTAGTAGGCAAGCCTTCAAAGCTATGATGGGTGGCAAAAACTGTGAGAAAAACGCGGAGCCAACACCCAGTGTTGGGTCAGCACGATTATGACAACCGCACACTACACGGTGCAGGTATAGTGCCCATTATTCCATTTGATAAATAATTCACGTTTATTGTACGTGAAAATAAGCCCTATTAAGTTTACAGCACACGACGTTGTTGCCGTTGCTTGCCTGCTGCAGTTGTGGTCGAGCGACAAGGAAACCGGTTGGTCACATGATATTTTGACGCCATACGATCAAAACCTAAAGAGAGTTGACTGGCAAGCTTCGGCCACTTAAATAGGGTAAATAACAACCGAGCAAGCTACCTTATAACGACGCGAAAGGCTCTGTTATTCTTAAGTGCAGCCTCGCCCTATACCCGTACCCACCACTGCGCATATAGCGATATTTCTGCTTTGAAAACATTTGCCATCACTAACTGAGGCAAATGGGTATTTAAAGAATTGCATGATAGCACATGCCAGTGTATCTTCGGGCTCTAGTTTGCATTTTTTGTGCTAATCAGACGTTAGTGTGGGAAATCTCTGCACTGCATTATTCAAATGGTGACGTAAAGGCATTCTTAGTTCATCATGACTGTTAGTCGAGGGTTGTTCAACCGATCGGCCATCTTTGTTTGACCTAAATTGAAGTCCGCGAGATCACAGTTTGGCTGCGTCAGAATGACATGGCTATGGCCGGGGGGCAATAGCACATGCGCTTATGACAGAGGCCGAAGCCACTTCCATAGACGTATTTGAACGCAGGCTTTTAATAGGCTTCGAGGGAGGGTTATACACAGTCTGGCAGCAATTATCCTTGTTTTGATTTTCATGCATTTTGACATAATGATATTTGGAAGCAGACTCAAAATGGCTGCTGTTATTGTGTATTATGGGTCTACACAGCGAGTTTGTATAATTATTTTGTTCTCCTATGCATCATGACTTGTGAAGTTCACCCGTGTCACTTCATCTCTCTGAATCCTTCGGAGGGGTGAGAATCGTTTACAGTGTCGCCGTGGCGGTGTGTG